TCCACGGGACGGATTGTGCGCTCAGTGAATACCGACTTTGATGCTAAATACCCAATCTTACTCGATGCCCGACATATCCTAATTCGTTTGATGGCCCGCAGCCTCCACCATAAGCATTTCCATCAAGGATTAGATTACATGCGCTCCGTTTTAAAAATGAAATAAGCAATACTTGGGTTGCGTCGACTACTTTGGTCTATCGAAAATCAATGTGTAACATGCCGTAAACGCAAAGCAAGCACCATCCAGTCAATTATGCCCGATTTACCTGTCGAACGTCTCGGATACAAGCAACCACCCTTCAATCATACGGGTGTGGATTACTTTGGACCGCTTTACGTTCCGGTTCGCAGAAGCACTGAAAAAAGATGGGGATTTCTTTTTACTTGCCTCACCACCAGGGCTGTACACCTTGAGATTGTACCAACTCTGGACACCAGTTCTTGTGGTACGCCAAGCACAATCTGGTCGGATAACGGCACGAACTTCGATGGTGCGGAAAAGGAATTACTTGCCTGCATCAAGAGCTGGAATGGCATGGCTCCGACCACTTTTGCACTCAAAGGTGTTACTTGGAAATTTAACCCGCTAGGCGCACCCCATCATGGCGGCTCCTGGGAACGCCTCGTCCGAAGCGTGAAGCGCGTGCTGTACGATATCCTAGGCAGTAGGCGAGTCACTGAAGAGGTGTTAGGAACAACACTCTGCTTAGTTGAGCAGGCTTTGAATTCGAGGCCAATCACTCCCGTTAGTACTGATTCACGTGAGTTAGAAGCGTTAACCCCAAACCATTTTTTGCTTGGACAACATGCCACAAGCTTTCCTTCGCTTTTACCCGGGGAGCACTTCGATCACAAGAAAAGGTACGTGCGAGCGCAGTCATATGCTAACGCGATTTGGTCTCGTTGGCTTCGAGAATATGTTCCCTCGCTGAATAAGCGTGTCAAGTGGCACACTCATTCTGACTTCACTCTTAAAACAGGCGATCTAGAGTGGGTAATTGAGCCCGATAGTCCGCGTGGGTGCTACCCTCTCGCCCGAATTGTCAAACTAAACTACGGACAGGACGGTTGCGCCCGATCCGCCCTTGTCAGGACCGCAAACCGTGAAGTCACGCGGCCGACCTTTAAGCTCGCTCCGGTTCTTCCCTCTTCAGGGGGGAGGATGTTGCAAAGCAAATGTAGAGTATAGATGCATATAAAACAAGAGTATAGATGCATATAAAATAAGCACAGTTGGCCGAGCAGCCTAGAGACAAGTCTCTCACAACGGTCAACCGGGTTCGAGTCCCCCCATATGCAGACCTTAAAACATGTAGACCATTGTCATTAGACTTTCTTTTTATTCGAAGTGGGTTCTATTTACTCATTTTTTTTAACTTTTGTTTTGGTAACGTGTTCAAACCTTACTTATAGTTTCTTCAATAACTTAAAACCATTTTTTAAAAATTGCATTTTTTCAAACAGCCCTTAGTGTCTTTTTTTTAAGTTGAAAAACTTTTAGTCAGTTCGTTTTTCTTCGTAAAGTCTTGTGAATTCCGTCGTTGTAATAAATTTTGAAACTTATTTCTTGTGTCATCGACCAGTTTGTTCAGAAAACAAATTCACTGATTTTCACTGCTGAAAACACACGAGTAAACTTGTGTTATTACTATTGAATTTGGTTTTCGCAAAGCTCCGCGCACTCTTCACAGGGAGGTATCCAGTTTATTTTTCCCGAACAGCTCTTCAATGTCCTTGTTGAAGCTATTGTCTTTTTTCCTTTTTCTCTTTTCGAACTTTTGTCACTCTTCGTTTTGTTTGCTTACTTCAATTTTTGCTGCTAAATTAGTATGACATGAAGAGTTTTGGCTGCTGATGAGTCTACTACCATTCCCGGGTCGACCTCCATAGACCAAAAATGCTAATCATACAATTCCATAAACTAAATATATGAAAATATACTACTCATACAAATTTCATACATTTTGCTAAAATGATGTCATTGAATTTTCGAACAACTTTTCTCTTGTTTTGGCATAAAATTCGGTGTATTGTACTAAATAAAAAAGAAAAACTTTTTGTCAAAAAAAATGCTAAACATACAATTTCCATATATGGAAAATGTATGACTAGCATTTTTTTGATGGAGACGACAAAAACTTTTCAAAAGTTTTTTTGAAATTGCCCCCCAAAAAAATTTTTTTTTGTGTTTTTTTTTCAACCGCAAACTGATTTTCGTATTCAAACAAACATTTTTTGAACAAAAAGTTTTCATGCAAAAACTAATTTTTTTTGTGTATAAAGTAGTCCTGGATATACTAATATTGGATTTTGTTTTCCTTTTCTCTTCATAATTTTTGTCAAAACGCTTAAAACTCCTCTTTCTTTTGTATGACGATGTTTTTGTGTGCCTTGATCAATGTCTGGTAATTTAAAATTTCAAATTTTAGAAATAATCATCTTTGAAAATGTTTGCTAAAATTTAAAAGTTAGTTACTTTCGTTATTTTATTTGTGTGAGACAGTCTTAAAACATTTCAAGCTGTTTCCAATGCATTTTTAATGCAAGACGGCCAAACCTTTGGTTACTACGTTTGAGTAACCAAGGATTATGTCATTTGTATTCGATTACGAACACAACCAAAAAGTTTTTAGAAATTGAAATGTAAAAAATCAATATTTTTGGTTTATGGAAAAATGCTAGTCATACAATTTCCATATATGAAAAAACACTAATCATAGACCTTTCATGCAGTTTTCTGTTCTTATGGAATTGCATGAAGAGTGTATGATTCGTATTTTTCCATATATGAAAATTGTATGACTAGCACTTTTGGTCAACCCGGGTTTCTAGTTGCGTTTCTGATATTATCTCTCTCTCACAGTTTGTATTGCTTATTTATTACCATAGTGACGTTTCCATTTTTACTTGGTCAAGTAACAAAAGTCTGACAAGCTTATTGTTTCGATTAGTTGTGTAGTTTTCATCACCCATTTTTTACGATTCTCATTGATTGCTTTCTGAAAACAAGTTACACGCCTCTCTTAGTTTGACCCTGGTTTATGGATATCGCAGTCGTACATTTCCATGTGAAAATGTTTAATTTTTGATCCGACTACTTGGAAAATGAAGAGGAACTGTGTTTTTGGGTGTATTTGATTTTTTTGTTATCCACGCGCAAAATCAGGTTTTACAAAAGTTCATCGGAATGGGTCAAATGATATATCAGATATATCATATATATCATATTAAAGCATTTTCAGGCGTGAATCTTTTTTTGAAAAACTTTTGAAAAAATTTAAAAATTTTTTTTTCCAGTGTCGAGGAAAACAAGGTGACGTTTTTTTCTGAAAAAAATTATTTTAATCTCATTGTTGAAAATGCCTGCAATCTATTTTTTCGTTCAGATCTTTTATCACACAACGCAGAAAAAACGACACTCGCTAAAAAAATGTTTTTCGAAAGAAAACTTTCAAATACTATAGTCGGAATGAGTGCTACTTGCACGGTAACCAGCTATCCTGGTTACAGTTTCATTTTATCTTCCAAAAATTTAACCGCCCTCCCAAAAAAAAATAGAAAAACTTCTTGCTATCTAAGTCATGTTTCTCGCTTCTGATTGTTGTGATTGTGTATCTTTAAGTAGTAACCTTGACCTCTGATAGTTAATTAGATACCAGTTAGTTGTTAGCCATACGAAGTCCAGCGGACTTCGCGTCACTAGTTGCTCTATTTAGACATCGGTCAGTTTTAATTCAACAAAACTATTTTTAGTCTTTTAACTTAGATTAGTTAGATTAGTTTACCAGTGGTATTTGCACACTTTTATTACTGATCATTATTTGTGTAAGCCTAAAAAGATACCTCGAGTTATTCCAATTGCTAGCCAACGACTTCGTACTCATCTATGCAACAGACCCAATTTCAAAATGAAAAATTTGACAAAGATGCATCTTCCACCTGATGTATCATTTGACATGAATATTTGCCTCATTCCTAAACTGTATTCCTTCAATAACTTCTGCTATGAGGTTGTTTTTGATAACAATTTTTATGAAATTAGAGTTTTTTCATTTTCTGCTTTGCGTCGCCTAAAATCCGTATCGGTAGGGACTTTATTTGAGTTTTATCCGTATCTGTATAAAAAAACGAAGGAAAATGAAATTTTATATTTCAGACTTCTGAAATCCTTTGTTTTTTCAGACTTTTGTCTCTGTTCAGTGGTTGCATGTGTTATGGAATGGGCTTTAACGCTAGTTTTGCATCAACTGAGTTTCGAAAAAAAAACTGTATATGGAAAAACATATAGAAAGATTTGTCATAGAATTCGCATATATGAAAAAGTTTTCACCATAGAGGTTTCATACAATGTTTGTACGTATGGAATTGTATGGTAAGAAGTTTTTCGAACTTGTAAAATGTATGACAAGAAGTTTGGATCAACTCGACAAGCAGTTTTAGGTAGATACGAGTGAGTTGATTGGAATTTTTTTTAGATATATTGCTATGTAATTTGCGGATGCCGTTTACAACATTACTTTATACAGTACAATTTGTGGAACCCGCTTACTTTTGCCGAATCCGAAAGAACTAGCTATATTCGATCGTTGCGGAATCCGCATAAAATTATTATGGCGTTAAAGTTTATGCTACAGTTATATGTCCGCGGAATCCACGGAGTTTTGTGAGTGGAACCCACTTGTTGAGTCAAAACGCGTTATGAACTGAATCTTTAGGTTGATTAATTGATTCTGACAACGGCATCAATATTAATGTGAACAAAAATACTGTTTGTTTCCTTCTCAGTTTTTCAAAATTTGAGCTGAAAAAAATCTCGATTTAGGTGATTTTGACCCAAATGCGTCAAGACCCAAAACGAGTAAATACTGTATTCTAAACCGTTTAATTTACCATGAGCGTATATCTAGCATGTAGCAAGAAAAGCCGTATTCTAAAAGTTTTGCTGCTGTCTTTCGATTGGAACCAGGCTTAAGGCGGAACTGGGAAGAAATATTTTACCGTATAGAATTGGTCAAAGGTCAATTGTTCACAGTTATTTCTGCTCTTTTCGTCTTCAATCTGTGCGCAGACCATATGTGCCACAACCATCCTGTATTCTTCATCTCTATTAGAAGCATCTTCTGGCTGCTCGTCATAGTCTCCCCCTGTCGAAAAACTTCAAATGAATTTCGAGTGAGCAAAGATCGGTAAAATTGTGAAAGAGTTGTCCACGAAAAAACCAGCTGTGAAATCAGGCTCCCAAACTAGGTAAAAGTCGGGTTGACAAAAAACACTTATAATGCAGTTTGATACTATAGAAAAAATTTTATAATGCAGTTTCGTATGATTGCATAGGAGAAAACAAATTGTATAAAAATGGCGTTTTTTTCATGGAATTCTATGACAACCACTTTTCCACAGACTATAAGTAAAAAAAATGTCGCGGTTGGCCGAGAATGTATTTCGTAAATTGATACCAAAGATGGGACCATTTGGGTGGTAAGGAGTGTCAAATTTCTGAATGGGGAGAGAAAAAGCGTGCAACCCGACCTCTCCCCCTTAATTCGCTTCTGACTACGCGCATAGGTAAAATCAAATTCTGAAAATTGAAAAAAGTATATGAAAGTACATGAAAAATGAAAAAACGAATCCAAAAAGCCTGCTTTTGAGAATATTGGACCATTAACGATCAAATTCAAGGGCTGGAAAATGCAATTCTGAAGTGAAGAGTCATCTAAATGAATATAAGTGCGGTTTCTGTTTTTTTTCTTTTGTCAATGAATAAATACCGGGCAGGTATTTAGTAACTCTAGATTTTTTCCAGAATTGATATTCAGCACGAGTTGCCTATATAGTTTCAGCGGTCCAAAATTTGTAGTAAAAATTCAATATGATGAAAACTTTTCTGGCACGTTGGAAGTTGATCTCAAATTATATACATATTAGTACATCTTAAATCACTCGGTTAGTTTTCCCAAGGTTTTCAAACGGCCGTGATATTCATTCAATACTCAATAATTGGGGAAAAAACAAGATCATGTGAAGCACTCAATTAAATACAATTAATTGGTCGCCGACTGGAATTTCAGAAGCCCTGATCGAACTGGTAGTTTTTAACTTATATTGTTTTCCTGAGTCAGCTGTTTCTTGATCACCTTTTTGTTCTGACTATTGAAAATGGGGGAGGGGGGCTTCTGTTTTAGTTTTTTTTGCAAAATCAGGTACCACAAATAATTATCGGACTGGGATGTGTATCACTGTCGTGATTCGAACCACATTAAAATTTTTCAAAATTTTTTTTCCCAGAGTCGAGAAACACCGGTTTGAATTTTTTGATTTTTCATCTGATTTCGAGCGAATAAAGCGAGCGAGCAGTCTTATTTTAATTGCTTAAAAGCTTACAATCGGTTAATTGAAAACGTAAAAACTTAGTTGTACTTGGGTAACGTTGATGAAATTAATTGTTCGCTGATTGGAATTTCTGAAGACCTGATCAAAGTGTAAATTTTCAATTTTTAACCAATGTATGTTATTTCAGGGGCCATTGTTTTTTGACGTTCCTTTTTTTGAGCTTAGATGAGCTGTAAAATACACAAGACTGCTCGTATCAGGGCGAAGCTTTGAATCTTCCGACTGCGTTTTAGGCCTATGAAGCTTTGAAAAACTGATGAGGTTTTCAAAAAAAAGAATAAAATATTGTTTAAAAATTTTTTTTTCATCCCACCTCACACCACATAGATTTTGCTTCTAGTAACGTAGAAATTATGAAAAATAGTCTGTTTCAACAAATTTGGAACGACATCTAAGATGAAATATATCCTCGCTTAAGCGTCAATAGCGCAAAATATATCACGTGTTTTTCCCTAAACTGGCCAAAATGGCAATCTTTAAACCTCCATAACGTTAAGAAAAACAATCACAGGTGAAAAGGTGAAAAATTGTTTTAAATATGAGCTCAGGACAACAATATTTTTCGGCTGATATACAAAATTTTCATCAAAAATATGTAGTTAAGAAGTCGAAGTTTGTTTGGAGAAAAAAATAACCCCACCGAGCGCAAATATACAGTCACTTTTTTCGAAAGAAACTGCTATTTAAAACTAGAGAAGGCAAAATGGTATGGAATTAATGACTCAAAAGAAACACTTTTTGTCTCTTCGGCTCTGTTGCAGGGTAAGTTTAAACAATGTAATTTTGAGCGCTCGCTTACTCCATGTTGAAGAATTTTTACGAAAAAAAAAACACTCTGGAACACTTTTGGGCAATATCAAAAGTCAAAGTTTAAAGTTTGAGTCGGACGAAACTAAAACTCAAATCTAGCCAGCCTCAATTCAATTTGGAGCAATTTTGTTGAGCGGGATAATTCGCCACGCATAAATAAATGGCGTTTCGCTTCCAGCATTATGACTGAAATCTTCAGAGTGCGCTAAAGTTTGTCCAGTGTCCAGAGCATCGCAACATTGGCAGTTTTTAAACTCCCATATTTTTTGAAAAAACGAATCGATGGTAAAATATCTGTTCTAAGTTGATTTCAGGTAGTCGATATCTTCAATGAGTTAAAAAAAATTTGCTTAACTTTATTTTCGTTTTAAAGCATAAGTGTTTCGTTTTATTTGAAAGTCAGAACGATTAAACTCAAATTTTCTGAGTAAAAACATTTGCTATTTAAGCAAAAACCGAGTCTATTGCTTTTCCTGAAAGACCTCATGATTTTGGCTCAACTCAAATAGGACTCTGTTAGATCGAAAAAGAAATCAATTTAAGCTGATGCAATTCTGAATCACTCCTCTTCCATTGCTTGAAAAAGACTATATTCCGTTCCGTCTAAATTGATGTGTTAATTGGTTTTCTGTTGTCACCAAACTTAGTTGTAAAAAGCATATATGTACTCACGTAGCAAAATTTATGGGATTGACCAGCCGATTGCGTTGTTTTCTCGATTATTGATTGACTTTACACAAAATTGAAAAATGAGTTCCATTGTATCTTCTGTAATAATAATAAAGAGTTGGTAGCGCATGCCTTTAATGACGTTAATTACAAACGGAGAAGTTTTTGACAAACTGTTTTGAAATGAATAACTGGATTGAAGTTGATCATCTTGAGGTTACGCTAGAAAACCTTTAGTTAAATTTGAAAATTTTTTAAAACAGAGGATTTAGGAGGCTATATTAAACTGTAGCATGAATCTGGGCAAAACATTCTGAAAGTACAAACGTCTGTTGATCAGAAACTACCCTACGAGGTAATAACTCAGCATCTATATCATAGGAAAATTCCCCAGTTCCATTTGAGTTTACCTGATACCCGTTTACATTTATGGGTTTCGGGTTCACCTGAAATGTAACTTGTAGGAAAAAAACGTTGATTCTGTCCATCAAATATAACTGAATACCATTTACAACACATTACTAGCTATATACCACAGGATTGATTCTTTTAAATGTTCAACTGATCAAAAAGAGAGTTTTTTCAATCTCTCAAAATTTATAACTGAAAAAAAATCAAGTATTAAGTTTTTTGAGTTTTTTTTGTTCGACGTAACGCATATAACACATCCACATTCCAAAAAAAAACACAGCAAGAGCAAAACCGAAAAACATGTGACGAAAACCAAAATTATTTTTAAGTTATAGAAACACATTTAAAATGTTTTTAGCAGTCGTTTGTTTTTTTTGCTTTTGTAACTTTTGTACAAAAAAGTTGCTGATTTTCTGAATATCTATGGGATGAAAAATTGTCGACAATAAAAAAAGTCGAATTTTTGTAGGAATAACAACACGGGTGCGTTGTAGCTTGACAGGAAAATTTCAAGCTCCCAAACCCAAAAAAGAGGATATTTGCTACGAAAGTTAACGCAATGTAAAAATTGTCGGGAGAATCACTCAGTCGAATTTTTATATTAATTTGTCAAAGAAGTATTACCGACATCGTTCAACCCACAGAGTCGAGAAATGACATTCCTCGACCCATACGGTCGATACGTAATCAAGTCGAGACTTCAAACCCCAGCTGTGAACTTAGGAACAAGTATATTTTAAGGTGCATGTAGGGAGCGGGGGGGGGGGGGGGTTGTGCGTCTTAACTTAAGGGTGAGTGGACTTCGATATTCGGTTTTTGCGCAGAAAATTTTGTCAAATTAGGCCGGTCGTTATGGTGTTTTGAGAGAGCTCGGAAATTATATATTGCTTACAATAATCCTGCTCGCGGTTCGCCAAGTAGGATTGTAGTTTCGTCATTGCATTCACACACCATCCGCAGTCTCCACTCTCTGAGAAGTCGTAGCTGTAGCCCTCCTTCAGATCTTCTTCATACGCCTCTAAAAAACAAACAAACAAAAATACTTACCCGGATCAAAAACTATTCAGCTATCATACAGATCCCAAGCACTTCATGAGTTTAACAAAATTGTATGAAAATTCTTCAAGTAACATTTTTGATACTATGTAAATTTATAGCCAAAAATGAAGTTTTTTGACAGTTTTTTGACAGATTTTTTTTTCATTTCTTTTTTCTCTTAGGAGTTATTTGAAATAACATGACCTCATTTTGGGTACAAGCCCTTTTGTTGGGTATTAAGACTTCAAAAGTCATTGACACTTAATCTGAAGTGGATTATATTGTTAGCATTCAGGAAAGCATTAAAATGAAACGTAACTAAATTAGATTCATTTATTTTTCGTTGTTATAGAGAAAAACGATGAAGTTCAATTATAATAGATATTTTTCTCTCTTTTCAAACAAAACGGGTCATCATGCAAAACTGAAAGCACACAAAGTCGTTTGCACAATTTTAACTGAAGTTGGTTGCTGTTCAATTTCAACTTTTGTTACTCACTCTATTTTTTCCTTTCCATTATTTTCTTAAAATCTGGTACGTTGGGGGAACAACTTGAAGGTGATAAGCTTTGTATGAGTGAAAGAATACAAATTTCATAAGGAAGCGTGCGCCAATTGTGCGCCAAACCTCCAAAAAAGTGTCTAAAATGCCAGTTGGAATTTTTTTTGTCCAAAAACTGCTTGCAGCATCGTAAATTTTTGTCAAAACAGGATCGTTATTGTCTTATTGGAAATATGCAAAAATCAATTGGCATGACTTTAGCAAGAGGCTGAAACAAAGTGTTCAAAACTGTATGTATCTATATAAGTCATTACGAAGCTAAACTGTGCACTGGATAGGCGCACAATTTTGTGTCTGTATGTTCCTGGATACCAGAGACAAGTCTTTAAATATGTTAAAATTTTGTCGGAACGATCAGAGGAAATTAAATACCAAAAGAAGAACAAGACTGCTCGTATCAGGGCGAAGCCCTGAATGTTCCGACTGCCTTTTAAGGTTTATGGAGCAGCAGTAAAAACATTAATAAATAAATTAAAATAAATAAAAATGAAACTGTTTTTCTAAAATTTGAAATTTTTTATGAAAATCATCCCCTACACGCCATATAAAGTACAAAAAGATAGATTTCGTTCCTTGTAACAAATCAATTATGGCAAATAAGCTTATAAATCTCCGTCTTATAAATCATTCAACCAATTTGGAATGATTTATAAGACGGATTAAATCTCCGCTTACGCGTTAATAGCGCGAATTATATCGCGCGTTAATTGTCCCAAATTGGTCAAAATGGCAATCTTTAAACCCTAATAATTGAACGAAAAATGATCACAGGTGAAATATCTTTTCAAATTAAAGCTCAAGACAACAAAACTTTTCGAATGATATAAAAAAAATTCCGTTGAAAATGGCTGGTTAAAAAGTCGAAATTTGTCTGAAGAAAAAAAAACCCACCCCGAGCACAAATATTCCGTTACTTTCGTATCGAAAGTCGGAACAACAAAGAGAGCTTTCTTGTTGCGGAATCTGCTGACAATTCACAAAATGCACAGTTTCGTCTCGTAATGGTATGAATGATTTTATGTATTATATGTTACGTAAACATTGTGAAGGGAGGTATGTTGGGCGGCGATGGGGGTAAGAAGTGAAATTGTTTTCAAAATCGAGTACGTTCAGAATTCGAATCGGCCCTACAGCAAGATCTTTTGACAAAGCCGCGGAATTATTCATGTGATATTTTCCGACATTGTGTACAACCAGGGGCGGATTTAGGGGGGGGGGACGTCTACCCCCCTCAGGGATTCGACCCCCTGCCGACCCAAAGGGTCCCCCCTTTGGTACTTTTTAAGAAATCCATTTTGGCCTACAGATACTAAAATTTTTCTAAGGGCGCCTTAGGCGCCAATGTATACTAACTTTGAGGGGGAGCGCGCGCCAAAAAATTTTCCAAAAAGTGCCTAAAAACGGCTTTTTTGACCTGTTTTTTTTTAAAATTTGCCTGCGGCGTAGAAGATTTGGCCAAAAAAGCGTCTTTTTAGTGTTCCAGGAGAGCTCGGAAAATCTATTTGGTCGACCAAAAAAAGGTCGTCAAAATTTTCGAAATTTTTTTGAAAATCCGCCCCCCCTCGAGAAAATTCTAGATCCGCCCCTGTGTACAACGCAAAACAGAAATCGAATATTTTTTAAAATTAATTTTAATGGATTTGAAATGAAACAATTACTTTAAATTTTGCGAAAATGATGGGTCAAATCAATTTATAATTCAGTTTGTTTTCTCAGGGCGAAGTGGGAACTGATAATATGGAAAATTTTTTTGAGCATGAAACTCCAACATGATTAATTTTTTAATTGATTTTCTTTTTCTTCAAGTGTGGCCTTGTTGTACCTGACTTTGCGCAATGGGCGATGGTTTAACACAAAATTGCATGGATTTTTCTGACACGACAGTCGGAACATTGCAGTTTTCAACCTGATTGTTAACATCCGTTTTTCCCGAACACACTAAAGCAACATGATGGTTGCGTTGGCAAAACTTACCAGAGGAGAGGCAATCAACGTAGGAAGACAGACCCTCCGATTTGTCACATCCAGAAATCTGTTCGACCTCATCGCACAATACCACCCCTGGAATGAACAAAAAACCCTCAAAACAAAGATACTTCTTTACTTCTATGTAAGTCCATTCAAAAAGAATTCACAATCGCTGAAATTTGCAATATTTTGCTCTTAAAAAGATCACAAAATTCAAACCTCACTCATAGATGAACTGTTTTTTACCTGCGATTAAAAATGTCGCTAAGAGTTTCAGCAACATCGCATTTGTCAAGTTTTCTAGCTTCAAAACAGAATGTATGTTCAAATTAACTCAAACTGTAACTATGAAATGAAATATTTGGAATGATTTGACAGCGGCTTTAGATACATCTAGGGGTTATTTCAGATAACAAGAGCTAAACTAACATGAAGCTGTGACCCATGAAAGAGAGTATGAAAAGGGGTAAAATGTGACTCTTGCGACTTGCTTTAGTGAACATTCTCCTCTGAGTACACAGTATTATCAGAGCGAATATGGTAACATTTCTGAGATTAGTACTGCTAAACCACAGAAAACTGTAGATCTGAAATTACTTTGAGATCAGATTGCTCAAGTAACAAAACATCATTTCTGAGCAGCAACACAAATTCGGGGGGTGTTCAGCAAGAATATTTTCTTCACGTAAAAACGTCAAAATTACAAAAAAAAACAAAACAAATTTTGTTCTCATTTTTATGTCCGCAAATTAAAAATTGAGCTCGTCTTTGAGTTCCTTGCCTTATATAGATTAAAGTCCAAAAACAAAATTTTGTTAGAAAAAAATTAATAAAACATTCGATGTAAAATGTTTTTTTTTTAGGTTTAGTGATACGTCTAAAGCTCAAAACACAATTGAATCTAAATTGAATTGGAAATATCATCAGAAAAAATGTTAAATAACTTTTTAAATTATTTTGTAATCAAAACAAACAATGTTCTTCAGTTTTTGAATGGCTGTAATCATTCAGACTAAGAAAACAATTGTTGGTCAATACAGTCTTCTTGAATCAGTCAAAAACAGTGATGGCGAAACCTTGTCGAAACATAGTCTGTTGAGTCATAAGCAAAAACAGAGTGGAAAATCGACTCCACGAATATCATATTCTTGATCAGCAGATGATTTAAGGTGGGTGGGATGGATGGAAACCATCTCCCATTCCTCAACGATTCAACACCCTGTCGGCACAAAGCTCGCCCCTATGGTGCTATTTTGAGGCATCTATTTTTGGCCAACAAACCCAAAAGTTTTGAGAGAGAAAAAGAGATGACAAAATTTTCCAAAATTTTTCAAAAGCTGCCCCAATCGAAAAAATCTTAGATCCGCCCTTGGTCTTGTGCAAAAAAAAATCTTTGGTATTTATATACAACCAAATTACAATATGCTACGACTTTAAATTGAGAACAACTTAGTTGAGCAACAAAATTTTTGATCCGACTTTCGATACGAAAGTAATTGTTCCGACTTTCGATACGAAAGTAACGGAATATTTGTGCTCGGGGTGGGTTTTTTTTCAGACAAATTTCAATTTTTTATCTAGCTAGTTTCGACGGAAATTTTTATATCATTCGAAAGGTATTGTTGTCCAAAGCTCAATATTGAAAAAAGAGTTCACCAGTGATCATTTTTCGTTAAGTTATGGGGGTTTAAAGGTTGCCATTTCGGCCAATTTGGACAATTAACGCGCGATATATTTCTCGCTGTTAACGCGTAAGCGGAGAGTTAATCCGTCTTAGAAATCATTCCAAATTGATTGATAGAAACTTTTTAGCCATAATTGATTTGTTACAAGGAGCGAAATCTATCTTTTTGTACATTAAATGGCGTGTGGGGGAATGATTTTCGTAAAAACTTCAAATTTTAGAGAAAATTTTTTTTTATTTCCTTTAGTCTTTTAATGTTATTAATGCTCAGCAAATCTTAAGAGGTAGTGGTAACATTCAGGGCTTCGCCCTGATATGAGCAGTCTTGTTGTTCCGACTTTCGATACGAAAGTAACGGAATATTTGTGCTCGGGGTGGGTTTTTTTTTCTTCAGACAAATTTCGACTTTTTAACTAGAAATTTTTGACGGATTTTTTTTTAAATATCATTCGAAAGCTCTCGTTGTCTTGAGCTTAACTTTGAAAATATATTTCACCTGTGATCATTTTTCGTAAACTTATGAGGGTTTAAAGATTGCCATTTTGGCCATTTTGACCAATTTGGGGCAATTAACGCGCGATATATTTCGCACTATTAACGCGTAAGCGCAGAGTTTATCCGGCTTAGAAATTGTTCCAAATTGTTGAAAGAAGCTTATATGCCAGAATTGATTTGTTACAAGGAGCGAAATCTATCTTTTTGTACTTTAAATGGCGTGTGGGGTGATGATTTTTGTAAAAATTTCAAAATTTAGAGATTTTTTTTTCTTTAGTCTTTTAATTTTATTAATGCTCAGCAAATCTTAAGAGGTAGTAGTAACATTCAGGGCTTCCCCCTGATATGAGCAGTCTGGTTGTTCCGACTTTCGATACGAAAGTAACGGAATATTTGTGCTCGGGGTGGGTTTTTTTTTCTTCAGACAAATTTCGACTTTTTAACTAGACATTTTTGACGGATTTTTTTAAATATCATTCGAAAGCTCTCGTTGTCTTGAGCTTAACTTTGAAAATATATTTCACCTGTGATCATTTTTCGTAAACTTATGAGGGTTTATAGATTGCCATTTTGACCATTTTGACCAATTTGGGGCAATTAACGCGCGATATATTTCGCACTATTAACGCGTAAGCGCAGAGTTTATCCGGCTTAGAAATTGTTTCAAATTGTTGAAAGAAGTTTATTTGCCATATTTAATATGTTACAAGGAGCAATATCTATCCTTTTTAACTTTATATGGCGTGTGGGGTGATGGTTTTCATAAAAATTTTCAAGTTTTAGAAAAAATGCTTTTTTTCATTTTTTTAATTTCATTCAATTTTATACCGTTATTACTGCTCCATATACCTTAAAAGACAGTCGGAACATTCAGGGCTTCGCCCTGATACGAGCAGTCTTGTTTTACTTGGTGATCGAAAAACAACAAAACAAAACTGCATTTTTCTGAAAGATTCAAAAGATACTACAAAACAGCTATTCGAGTCAAGTCCGTTAAAAAATAAACAACCACAGGCAAAAAATATTCTAACACTAGACAAAACTCGGCGGAAAACATTGGAAGTATAGTCAAACACAGTCAAAACATGATTGATCACTGTGGCAAAACATTGTTGAACAAAATGATGAAAATTTTTTGAAATTGTAAAGAAACTTCACATGATATTTTTAATTAAGTCCAAATAGCAATTAATTGCAACTAAAAGTAACTATATAAACAATACTAATGGCTCAAAAATTTAAAATTTGTTCTTTATCTAAACCAAAAAATTAATTTGACTCTAAAGCGAAACAAGACTGCTCGTATCAGGGCGAATCCCAGAATGTTCCGACTGCCTTTTAAGGTTTATGGAGCAGCAGTAATAACATAAAAAATTAAATGAAATAAAATAAAATGAAATTTTTTTTCCAAAATCTGAATTTTTTAATGAAAACCATCCACCCACACGCCATATAAAGTACAAAAAGATAGATTTCGTTCCTTGTAACAAATCCATTATGGCAAATAAGCTTCGTTCAACCAATTTGGAACGATTTATAAGACGGATTAAATCTCCGCTTACGCTTTAATAGCGCGAATTATATCGCGCGTTAATTGTCCCAAATTGGTCAAAATGGCCAAAATGGCAATCTTTGAACCCTCATAACTTTACAAAAAATGATCATAGGTAAAATATCTTTTCAAATTTAAGTTCAGGACAACAATGGTTTTCGAATGATATAAAAAAACTCCGTCAAAAATGGCTAGTTAAAAAGTCAAAATTTGTCTGAAGAAAAAAAAACCCATCCGGAGCACAAATATTCCGTTACCTTTGTATCGAAAGTCGGAACAACAAGACTGCTCGTATCAGGGCGAAGCCCTGAATGTTCCGACTGCCTTTTAAGGTTTATGGAGCAGCAGTTTTAACATAAAAAATTAAATGAAATAAAATAAAATTAAATTTTTTTTTCTAAATTTTGATATTTTTAAATTAAAAAATTAAAATCATCCCCCCCCCCACACGCCATATAAAGTACAGAAAGAGAATTTCGTTCCTTGTAACAAATCAATTACGGCAAGTAAGCTTCGTGCAACCAATTTTGAACGATTTATAAGAGGGATTAAATCTCCGCTTACGCGTTAATAGCGCGAACTATATCGCACGTTAATTGTCCCAAAGTGGTCAAAATGGCCAAAATGGCAATCTTTAAACCCTCATAACTTTACCAAAAGTAATCAGAGATAAAATATCTTTTCAATTTAAGCTCAGGACAACAATACCTTTCGCATGATATAAAAAAACTCCGTCAAAAATGGCTAGTTAAAAAGTCGAAATTTGTCTGATGAAAAAAACCCACCCCGAGCACAAATATTCCGTTACTTTCGTATCGAAAGTCGGAACAACAAGACTTCTCGTATCAGAGCGAAGCCCTGAATGTTCCGACTGCCTTTTAAGGTTTAAGGAGCATTAATAACAAAAATAAATAACATAAAACAAAATGAAATTTGTTTCATTTTATGATTTTCATAAACTTTTATGAAAATCATCACCCCACACGCCACATAAAGCACAAAAGGATAGATTAAAAGGTTAAAATCCTTACTAATGAAAAACTCTCAAGTCAATTTTAAATGAAATAGACTTTAGTGAAAACAAAGGAACTCTCCGCTTTTGAAAGAACTGGAGGAGTAGGCTAGAACCTCAAGTCTCAGGTGTCCGTGGAATCTGCGCCAAGGCCCAGGTTATGTACATTAATTTAACTGTTGAAGCAGACCATCTGACCCGACCTGATTCACTTAGCTGAAATCCTCCCGCTCACACGGCACGGAGGAGAAGGAGAACAAAACTCCCATCAAGAAGACTTTGGATTGAAGGCGGATACTGACCACAAAACTACACAAACAATGAAATCATTCAAACAACGATGCCGTCCCCAAAACCAAACAAAACATAAAAACTACAAAACGATTGTTTTGATAGACTGGACTTCAGATGAAGTCCAGTGTCAGAGCGACGTCCAAGTAACCCAAACTTGTGATATGTCCTAAAATATTGGGTCAAGTTTTTAGATAGTCAAATATTCTTATTGAAAAACAAATGCATAGATTTTATTTACAAAAAACCTAAAAAATGAGATGAGTTGATGTCGGCCGATTGAGAAAACCTTGTGAGTTAGTACAATTAGAGACTACTATATAGTGTTGGATTGGTAAGTTTTCTAGCTGCCG